GAACTCAATTAAAAAAACACCGCATCGATGGATGCCATTTAAAAAAAATCCAAAATTAAAAATAAAATAGCGCGCGAAATTGTTGCCGATCGCGCGCGCTCCGCCGCGCCGTCGGAATCCGCCAATCAGCCGCGGATCGAATGATGCCGATTCGAAAATTAAAAATGTAAAAACGCCACGCCAAATGCAAAACGCTAACTGACGGCTCAGCCAATAAGCCGCCCTGCATAATTCCGATGGGCGAATGTGCACGTTTCGACGTATAACAATAATTACCAACTCTTAATTAGTAAACCATCATTACTAAGAAAACGAATAATTAATGAAAAGAGTAAAATGAAATTAAAAATTATCCACGAAATGAAGTCCGACTTTGAGAGATAAAGATAATTGGTAGTATCGTATTTGCTACGTTTTACATGTTATAGATTGATGGTACAAAACAAATTATTAAAAAGTTGCCGTGGGATTAAATTTTGGACGCATAACATCTCTCGTCTGTCCCGTGAGTATGAATTTCATAAAATGTTCAAAACGTGAGGAAACAAAACCAAAATAAGACGCAACAAAATTCCTTAATTATTTAACAGTTGTATTTAACAATGTATATGTCGCCGCAGCGATTATTTGGCTGCTTACCTATAAGTTAATTTAAAATGGTAATACAGAATATCAATGATTATATTTAGAAAACAAGTTTGTTAATTCATAAATTTAGTTTTAATTATTACAAGAAATGATTATTCTCAACCACATGATTAAAAGTTATATTTACTAGAAAATCAATAACTAAATCCTTATCTTAATTTAGTAAATAAATACTACCTTAATTTAAACATAAAATTTATAAGTAACAGTTTTGTCTCACTAATACAGTCTCAATACGAATCCGTATTTCAACCATTTGAATGTCCATACTTTTGTTTATTTGTGAAATTGCTTAAATAACTTTTGAATAGTTTTAAAACATTACTATAAAACTATGGAACTTTTATAACAATTTATTCGTTAATAACAACTTTAATTCATTTCATTTATAATAGTTACATAAATTTGTAAAAAATACTGTGCGATTATAACGCCACCTGGCGATTCAGTGGCGTTGACATTGTAAACTGTGGTACCTAAAGTGCTTTGAGTGGAGAGCTCACTTCGAAGCTGACTTTTGAAGAGAAAACATTGTAAGTAAAATCTGTGTCAGTTTAATAAAGTAATTATTATTTTTGTACATGGTTTATTTGTTACTTATGTTTAAAGTATTGATGTAATCCCGTCGTTAATAGGAATTTAATAAAGTATTTGGTTGTGTAGTTTGTAAATAAAACTTGCTTAAGTATATCGGAACTGATGACTTTAGAGTCAGCAGTTCTGTTTCCTTTTTAAGTTATTAAACTTTGAAGTGAAATTTCCGATATATACTATTTATTGCATTATCTTTATCTGATGTTCACCTTACAGACACACACAGTGAAGGACAAGGAAGGGTTTTTTGTGTTTATACATTGCGACAACCAATTCGGTGATGGAAGAAAAGATAGACGACCTAGTGCACAAGAAGCAATCATTACGTCAAAGTGTTGGCAGGAATGGGTCTCTTCCGTAAAACCATTAGTAAAACCAATCACTGATATAATATTCTTCTTTTTGTATATTGCCCTCCCTTACTTTAAGATAACATTATCCAAGATAACATTATCGTAAGTACATTTCACATACATAAATTTCACGTGGACGAACACCCGGATCCGAAACAATTATCCAGGGCCACACGAATACTTCTCTCGCCTCTCGTGTGGAAACAAACCCACAAACCCCGGCTACTACGGTAGTAAGGTAGCCTATATGTTTCGAAGTAGGTTGGGAGTACCAAAATATCCCATGGCGGTCCCGTTTTACAGAATGAGGTACGGAAATAGAGGGTAAAATCCACTGGCCTGACTTTACACGAATGTTGCATACCTGCGATGCGCCGATTCGTATCGTCAGTGACGTATGTACGTCAATCGGTTGCCGCATGAGTAGATCTCAACGTTCGGACATTTTTGAATTTCGAACGTTGTAAAAAATAAAGTTTACTTTTGAAAAACATACGAAAAACGAACACCGTCGACGCGAAGCTATGCACCGCATCGCTATTACTTCACCAATACTAATCTATGGGTGTACTAGATAGGCAAAGATAAAGTAAAGTATCAGCCTGTACATGTCCAACTGCGGGGCAAAGGCCTCCTCTGTACAGAGAGTAGTCAGGGCATAGTCCAACACGCGGCCCCACTGCGGATTTGCGGACTTCACATATCTTCGCCATATTTTTATTTTGTTATTAGGTATATCGAAAATATGCAGGTTTCCTCACGATGTTTTCCTTCACAGCTGAGCACGTGATAATACAGCACTTAAAATTGACAATTTCATTGGTGCTGGCACCGGGGAACGAACTCAGGTTGCTCGAGTATATTAAATTAAAGGTGAGAGCCCGGACAATGAACTATCACGGCTCAGTAAATTATAAGATAAATAGTTCATAAAAATTTTCTTCTTCATTTGTCAATCGAGTTATCTTGCTATAACTATCACTCTTGCACGCTCCTTGTAACAGGCAATTTTTGAAACCGCTGCACCGAACCTACAAATATTCCAATGACAAAAATCACCATGTCCCCGAGTGAGGTGACATTGACGAGCGGACTTGAATCAATTTCGGCGCTATATCAATGTCGGGCGACAGGACTAAACACGGCGGCCGCTAGAGCGAGCGTTGCAACAACGCGGGCAGGAATCGAAACGAAAGGGTTTCACAATATCGAAAGTAGACCGGCGGCGAGAATAGGTAATGTCGATATACAACGCGGAAGCACAAGTCGTGCAAAATGTTTGACCCAATTGGCGTAGTGGACAGCGAACCTTTTGTGCCAGGGGGTGTGGGTTCGATCCCTACTGGAAAAATGTTGAGTGAACATGTTAAGGAGTGTCCGGTTGCTTATAATTTTATATATGTATCATGTGTATTTTTTTACAAAAGAGAAGTATGTTTAAGTTTGTTTATCAGTTAACTAGTACCCTCAGTGCATGCTTTGACTAGTGTAAGACTAGATAATGTCGAATAAAGATACACCTATCATGAATATATTTATTTACACTTATGCGTTTCGCCCGATGAGCGATTAAGCGGTTACCCACACTGTCAGTGCTTGTACAGTCTGGTGTCTCGAGTGTTCATCGGCGTCAGTGCTAGAAAGTATAAACACCGAAAAGTATGCTTATAATGTGTATTTATTTAGAAATGAAAAGTACATATATAACTATATCCATCAGTTCATTGCATAGTACCCCTAATGCAAACATTGCTCAGTCATGATATTCATTATAACTACTACTGAAACAAAGAATTACATATGTTCACCATTCTACACAAAGCGCTGGCCGCTAATAGATCCATTTCCCGAACGCGACGACATTTCTTACAGAGAACGGGATTCGGACATCTGCTGTCGACTTCGACGATGCATGCCCCCGTAGGAAAGCCACACGATCCCGAACCCACTTACGTAATGGGATAAATCCGTTCGACACCGCACGTGGAAAACTTAGCGCGAGGGCACACGGGAGAGTTTCACAATTAAGTGAATTACTTAGTGACTGCAAAACATAGGGTTTATATGAGTTTCTTCACATAGTGAATTTACTTTTACACAATTAGGTAGATTACTTTTGCATTTTGATTTAACCTTTTAATCAACATTGAATCTACTATTTGTTTAAAAAACAAGTCACCATCGTAGGATATAGCAGCTTCTGCTATCGAAGGCTCATCCGGGCAGGTGCCAGGACCAATTTTAAATATGGAACTCCGATTACCTCACTCATCGGACGAAACCGACGAAAGGTTTAAATGCATAAACTTTTTTTATGTGAAAATTCGGAAAGAGAATAGGCGGCTAACCTCATGTTTAGTGATAAGCGCCACTCCTGGACAGCTGCAACACCAGATTGCACATGCGTTGCCTTTTAAGCAAACAAAATTATAATAATTTTACATCAAGTAGTTTTCTGCGAGCGCTGTGCTACATCACCGGACGAGCCTGCCCAATCGTGCATCAGCAGTTTTTTAAGTTTGCCTATACTATATCATTAGTCTCTGGAATTTCCGTTTCACTAGTCTCTGGGATCGCTAGTAACAAACAAACAAAACAAACACCTCATGATGTCAGTATAGCTGAAGAAAATGGAAGCGCATTTCCAGAGGCGCCCAAGCGGCCTTCCCGTCGAATGGAATCCACTAAAGTCGATTCGCTTACGCCCCAATCGTTTCGAACAAAGCCCGGATGAAAAATAGCGTCCATTGGTTGGCCGGAAGTCGCGCGCCTCGCGACGTGGACCGATCACCACGTCGCTAACGGAAGGCGTGACGTCACCGCGTGCTATGCGAGAAATGTCACGGCTTCTTCACTGACCCCACTTTAACCCAAAAACTTATCCCTAATACGTTAATAAGTCCTTTATCAACAGTTAGTTCATCTCGAACTTTCCCATAAGAATCTAGTGGTACTCACAATTAAAAATGGAAAATTTTATTTAATATTAATGTTTTGTTTCAGTTTAATTTTTTTTATGTAAGAAGATGGCAAGTGAGATGGTGGTTCACCTTATGTTAAATTGAGAGTTGTTTACTTTTAAAGGTTTAAATATAATAAAGTGGGCCCCGGTTAACGAAACGTAGAAGCGTTTCGTTTGGTGAGTAAAATGTCCACTTCACGCCTTTCTTCTGCGAGGCCGTGGACTTACCCGGACGAGACCGCTCACTCGTGCAACAACGAAAGCTGCTAAGTGGCGCCAGCACAGTGATCCATTGGTGATCAAACTAAGTCAGTTCGCGGATCCATCGATCGACTTTTCATACCCCAAATGACATGCCGTCATTCCGCGTAACGGTCGCGGCGCCCAAGAGATTAATCCACAATCCGCTCTCGTCCACGAAACCCGCGACGGGCCGCCAATTATACACCCCGCTGATAATAAGCGACCCTAGGTGCGTTCGGGGGTGTAATACGTTCGGCCCATCGGCACGTGAACACGTCGTCCCGCATCACGGCGCGCCCGGGAAGCCGACACCTCTCCGAGGGGCCTTTTCGGCCCCGTGTCATCGTTGAGACGGGTCCGCGCGTGTACCGTTTCAAACAGCCCCACGCAAATGAGACTCGTAATTGGAACATCCTCCGCCACCTCGAATTCCACAAAAGCGTCGTGTCGTAGCGCTCTTTGAAAGCCCCCCCCCCCCCCCCCCCCCTCGCCTCCAAGTCCGTTGTGAGAGCGGGAATATCGAACTTATTATGTTTAGCTTTTCGAATAGACAGGTATACTCTTTTCCTTTTATATGAAAGAAAACGGAGTGGATTACGAATTGTTTAGTGGAATTTTTATTATTTTTTTTGTTTTTTATGTCAAGTACCGCGGCCTCACAGAAGGTATTAAGTGTGTTATATTCTTTCGTTTCGGCCCAATATTTCACAAGTTGCTAATAATGTATCTGCTACCCCAAATGATTTGTTGATGTCCATCGGCGGCGGTATTCACATTACGCGTCGAACCGCTTGCTCGCTTACCAATGTCTCCTTTTACAAAGAAAAAAAAACGCGCTTGCATGAACGCACGTTTTATAGGGTTTGTAGTATTTATTGACACATTTCAAAATAATTTACGACCGCATACCTTTTCATCTATTCGAATTTAGTTTGATCATTTTTTTTTTAAAAACATTGCCCTTACTTTAGGATAACATTATCGTGTGTTGTAAGGACATTTTACAAACATAAGTTTCACGCGGACAAACACCCAGATGCGAAACAACTATCTGTGGGCCACACAAATAGTTGTCCCGTATGGGAATCGAACCCACGACCCCCGACGCCGAAGGCACTACCTTGGCAACAACGCCACGGATTCATCGACATACGAATGTCAGATAATGATCCCGAATAGAATGAAACGATTTCTACTCTGAAACGATCGGTTGTTAAGGTTTATCCAAGCGAGGCACATCGCAAACCGGCAGTGGTGTGGTAAATATTTGTATATTTGCACAACAGTATGCCATTAGAAGTGAATTGCTACAATTAGCAGCATATTCGTGGATAATATCCCACCGCACCGCGATTATATACCCATTACGACGTTTCGTGGCATGATTAGGGAGGTTGTAACAACGTGCAAACGTTATAATGTATTCTCCTTCACCGAAAACTATTTAATTCGTTTGGAATCATGTCTTTTCGAGATGATCAGATGATGACGATTTCAGACTGAAAGGACTATGAGTAGCTTCGCATGTCCAAACTATGTCCAAAAACTAGTTAAGATTTTAAAGATCCATATTTCAAGGATACAAATCTTTTTTTGATGTGAGAAGGCAGCAAGCGAACTGACGGTTCAGCTGATGTTAAGTGATAACCATCGTCTGTGGATATTTGCAAAACCCGTAGAGTTGCAGATGCGTTGCCATCTTTTGATAAAAATGGGTGGTGGCCTTGAGGTCTCCGTCCTGTTGCTTACCCGGACGGAGCTGCCCATTTCTGCAACCGCGAAGGCTGTTGCGTGACCCTGCCTCCGGTAAAGGTCTAGCTTATTTATTTTTATTATGTTTAAAACTGACTATTTCTGTGTATAAAGCAACAAAAGTAATGTCTCTGAAAAACCTGTGCATGTCGATATGCGTCTGACATCATTATTTGTTAACTTGAAAAAAATTGCAAAAAGTTTAAATTACTAAGGGATACTTTAAAATATAAATTTTATGGACGATATAGGTTAGCAACGATCGCCTTTTCGTCGTGAACACGTCGAACACATTCAATTTGCAAAAACAGAAAAAAATGTTATCAAAAAACTAGGTTCAATGATAGAGATTCTTTCTATGGCAGAGCCATGCCGCGCCTCCCGTTGCATAAATAGGCCGGCTCGCCTAGCGAATACCAGCGAAGACGTTATATTTTCGCATTTCGTTAATTTTATCGAAGTAAGTCCGATCCTGTTGGTGGTTGTCGACACAACTGCAGAATTAACATCAGGTGCAACTAAATAAGACCATGTAAAATAAAACACTCTCGGGTTATATATGTTCATCTAGCTAAGGGCAACGGTATTCCATCGATTCTGATAATTAAACAAAATTCTGATCAAACATATCTTTTGCTTTTACGGTTAGACAACGATGAATACGAAGGCATTCGCTAATCCACTGCGTTACATGTCAGCCATCAAGGTGCACGTTACACGACTAATGCATTTAAGGCTCTGGCGAGCAATCAACCCCGGTCGGCCGTCGGGCTTATGTAAATTGAATTAGCTCCCTGCGGCGACGTCACCTGAATCATTCTGGGCCGGGAGCAGGATAATGGCATTCGGCGGACATTTCGAAAGCGGCGCAAGGGAAAAAATAAAGCTTTTATATATGCGGTGACATGTCTGCACCCTGGTGAACGCCGATACAAAGGTAAAAATTGATACTTCTTCTTATTCGTGTGGAATTACATATATACAACACGGTATAGCATAAAACACATATTATTTACGAAAGCATGTTATAGAATGAAATAAATATTATTTTGTAATCCACTAGTCGAATGGAATGAAATCTATTGAAATTACTAAAAATGGACGCAAAACGGTTTACGGTTTGTACTAGCATCTGGAGTTGGCATATTATGTTACAAACGGTGTCTTCATTATTTCGAGTGACATTTATGGACTAGTAGTTGTAAGATTATCGGTACTTTTATGAAGAAGTACAATTTTTGAACGTTAGGAACCTAGATAAAGCTACAGCCTAACCAAATACCTTAAATTAACAATGAACGCAGGACAGCAAAAATCCTTTGATCTCTGAACACGTGTTATGAATATCGTTTAGATTGTTTTGTACACAATCGACTAACGTTAAACGATGTGACATAACCGCCGCGCTTCTATTGTTGTGTCGTTCCACATTAGTTCAACTTTAACTATATGTGTTTAGCTCGTTGACTATATCAGAAAAATAAAGTGTAGAAAGCGCAAAAACAATAGGATTTCCGTAAAACAGCACCCGACGAACCGAAAGTCGAGCGAAAACAAAGAGCGGTTGAAATACAGGGTCAGATATTACATTACTACGGTGATGACGGGAACAAATAAAAAGTCGGCGGTGAAGGCGCGAACGGAGTGCTTCTACAGCAGAGGTTTCCTTCGCCGCCTGAAAATCCGGCGAAACACAAAGGATCCGCCGAACATACGGCGCTTCCATAGCAGATGTTTACTTCGAAAATCCGCCGAAACACAAAGGATCCGCCGAACATACGGCGGCGCAATGACAGTCGCGACGTAGAAATTCTTAGACGTCGTACGGTCGCGTCGTTAAGTGCAAGTACAATGCGGCAGAAGCCGAACGGGTGAAGGCGTGTCAGCACGGATGGGAGTTTGCAACACAGATATTAAATCTAAAAGAGAACTAAACAACCGGAATTAACGCGCAACGAACGATGCAATCGCTGTCTACCTATTGTTTGTTAGAAAAATAACATCTAAATTTTAACGGTCACGTTCAAACAGGCGATAGACTAAATTTTCAATAACTTTCAAACTCGTATTTCAACACAACATGACACTCGTGTTTCTAATAACTATAGGTAATAACTTATTTATTATTATAAATAAATGTATCTTTATTCAGTTTCCTTCATATTTAATGTGGTTTTAATGCATGATAGTGTTATAGAATATTACAGCTAACTCTTAAATGGCAGTTCAAATATAGCCAAGATATGGAGTAAGCCGTTCGTTAACTTAAAATTAAATAAAGTAATATGAAATATGTGAAAAATAAAATGTTCTTTCCATAACAAATCCAAAAATAATACCTACGTATTTTCCCCAAAGGGTACGGGCCACATATGTGTGGAGAAAACACCTCCATTTTACACTCATTTATTTCGAGCCGAAGGGAATGGAATTAAGAAAGACGAGAAAAAAAGGAAGAATGAAACATGGGAGCGCACAATAGAAATCGCCACAGATAAAAGTTCAAATAACACGCGAGGTGGGGACTCCCCGGACTTTCGATGTACGTCACACAACCGCCGGGGCGTCCCCCACCACGGAGTCTTTCCATGCTTTTGTGGACCTAACACGACTTTAATAGAACATTTATTGTCCCCGCTTTGAAGAAAATCGCGCTCGGCGATAATTGCCGACAATTGCGCTCGGCGATTGCACGCTAACTCGATCACTGCCACAAAGGATACGTACCTGAAAAGAGAAATGGTGCAAGTGAGTTTATGATTTAATTAAGTGAGCGGGATACATATTATACACAAACAAGTCAACAAAACGATAGAATCCTAGCGGTCCTGAACACACATTTTAAATCCGACAAAAACTAATGAATAATAAATTAACAAAAAAATACATTTCGTAGCGGACCGAATAGTGAAACCAATAGTGGAACAATTCTCGAAACCACTTGAAAACACACAAAAAATACATAGGAGGAGATCAGTCACATACACACGCAGAGAATATTTATATATGTACCTATATATATATGTAAAGAAACTACATTTCTTTAATATGTACAGCGCTCTTCTGTCAGTAAAGCAGTGACCATACTCATGTACGCTATAGATGGCTCTGTGAGTAACGGCGGTCAACTTTGTCGGGAAAGCAGCTTATATATGGATTGACAGATAAGTTGTGATGGAGCATAATTATTTTAGTTATTAATAATTGTATACAAAAAGAATTGATAATTGGAAGAATATACTTTAAATGTCGTTTCTTTGTTTTCAGGTAGGATAGTATGATTTCATCTAAAAGTGTAATTATTATTATGTGTATGTAAAATTTTAAATAAAATCTTTGTTTTCAGAGCAACACGATTGTTTATTTGACATTTACAATTCTTAATAAGTTTGGAGCTATTGTATTGTATATATATATAAATTCTCACGCGAACACTAATGTCAAATTTTTATTTTAAGAATGAAGAATATATGTATTTTTTTAAGAAATTTAATATAGATCTGTAGAGGATAAACATTTTTTTTATAGGTACATTATTTTTAATTTGCCAAGAAAGTGTTATATTGAATTCGTACTTATATCTAACAATTATTGAGCATATTTACGAATGGCCATTAACAGCTATGACACCATTCATCAGATATAAAATTTCGCGATAAAAAAAACGTAACGTAATTGTGTATATTACGTTACGTTTTTTTCTGAGGCTTAAAGAAATATGAGAAATCGTCCCAAATTATAATTTATAGAATAGAAAAGTAGTTGATAAATGTAGGCAAATTGAACTAATTTCATTAGATGGAAGTACAACAAAAGTTAAAATTTCCTAATAATTTCATAAAGCAAAGTTATAAATAGCCTATAAATTAAATTTTGCCCCACTGCAGCGCAAAGCCTTCCCGAATCCAAAAGATATTATGAAATATTTAATATTGGTAGATAACACATATCTTCCAAATATCTTTTCTTACATACTCTTCGTTATGTACGTTTTACACAATGTTTTCTTTCATCGCTGAGCGAAAAATAATACATCAGCGACAAATGACGCCATATTTTACCCTTTTTTGAAATGTTATATATTGGAACTAGATATTGTTATAGCTAAAGCATCATTTAAAAGAGCCTCAGCAGTACAAAAAAGCCGCGTATACAAATGAAAATAAAGGCACTACATAAAATGCGGCAGTATTTATTACTTTGCTTTTATGACACAAACTGAAACAACTCGTGTAGGTATGTGTTAGACTTTAGACCTTAACAACGCTAAAACATAAACAATACATTCAGCAGCCAAATATCAAATTACAACAAAACAGTAAATTCCGAAGCTACAACGAACAATATACATTGAGATAAAAAATACGTCGTTATTTAGATACATTCACTGTACTCAGATTAAATGCTCAACAACGCGAGAACAACGCGGGACAATTTATCGCATTACCCAAACGCAATTGCAAAAACTTAGCCTGTTAACGAAATTGGATTTAGTTCAAATGTAATAATAAAAAAAAATCTTCATTCCTAACTAGAACGATCAAAAAAGCAACTTTACGATTAGTGTAACGTGGGACCGCTGCATTTTCACTATCACTACATAGTTAGTATAAAACAAAGTTGTCCCTATGTATGCTTAGATCTTAAAACTACGCAACGGATCTTGATGCTTTTTTTTACTAGATAGAGTGATTCAAAAGGAAGGTTTATATGCATAATATATTGCACCCGTGCGAAGCCGGGCCGGGTCGCTAGTATTGCAAGAAAATAGACCTTCAAGATACTGTTTTCTAAATTTTGATATCGCGTGTCGTCCGTGACGTAGTATTACATTCAGCATCTGTCCCACAAGAATCATACCATTTTTCCGTGTTTAATATATCCCTCTTACATATCACACCGACTCATGGATCTCAGAAAAAAATATAATAATCCTTTGCCATCTTTACTGCAAGGAGTCAAATAAACGAACAGAATTTCGCTTTTATAAGCAAGCGTGACGCGAAATAAAATAATGTACCTTCACCATGGGAGCAACGGGATCTAGAGAATATATAAAATTTCAAAAAAATTATTAAATAACATATTATTTCAGAAAATTTACTTATTAAATAACGGAGTAAGGAAGGATAAAACGTTCCTTCCGATGGCTCACGTCTGTGTCATCAGGAAAACAGCGCCATCTATCGGAATGAGCGCAACATAATTCTCCAGGTCGTGTAGTGTTCTATACAAATTTGAAGCAACGATAAAAATCTATACACCGCTTTCCGCAAATTGGGAACGAGAACGACCCGATATCGTTCGCTAAGATCGCTGCTCTGGCGGCATCCGATCCGAAGTTTTCGACCGCGCGCGGCTTATCTGATCCAAAGCTAAAACCGGCAATTTATGTTCATTGCATCCGCATGCCGATCCTGGCACTCTGTAAAGTGGACCATGGTATTGGTAAAGTTGCGGCCTATGCGAGGACTGTGCGTCCCATAGCTGGGCAAACGCGTCCCACTTTGCGGGCGACGCTGGGTAGGGGATTCACCCATCTTGGACACAAACGAGTCAATTTTTTTTATTAAGGAAAACAAAACCGACTTCAAATATCTCGCTCTGTATTTCTCTACATATTTCCAGAGCTCAAGATAAAAAAAACGGTTTAATATGATTAAATAGCGCACTGAATTCGCGTTCAACCTTCACCTGCCATCTATTATTAAAGTTTTGAGACTTTTGGATTCGATTAAGAGTGTGAACGCGGCCTTATCCTAACACGTCCTATATTCGAGTGTCGGAAACAAGCCTGACGTCCGAATCCCTATACAACAACAGAGTTGACGAGGTTTAATCGAAAAATAAACGGAGCATAAATATCGGATCGGGCCGCCCAGTTTGAGCGCGGCCCACATCACAAAAAGCTAAAATTTCTCTGCGCGCCTTTTAAAACAAATATGTTTGCTGTAGGGAATAAACGAATCCGCTTTTTAATCTGTTTACTTTCTTTTTTCTTTTTTTTTTTTTTTTAAATAAACCCAAACTAATTTAACAGCGAAGGCGAAGCCGCGCTTGCTTACGACGCAACGTTTATAACAAATTAGTTTTTATTCTTAGTGCGATAAAACATGTTTCGAAATTAAATTCGCGGCGTTTTCATTTCGCATTATGATTTACCGTTTAACGGCGTCCTCGTAAATTTACTTTTTTAAGGGTAATTCGGACGTTGTAAACGTTTTAGCGCAATTCTATTGCCCGCGTTAATTACTTTCGTCGTAAAGACCGCCATTAGGTTGAAATTGAAGAAATTATATGTAGAAAGAAAGTAAGCCTATTATGCCCTAATCGGCCGAACTCCGTGTCTAAAATAAATACATTAAAAAATGTACCTCATTAATTTTATTGTAGCGTTGACGGTCGATATGAATTAAACCCAGCAGAACATTTTGTATTTAATCTGAAAGTAAATATGATGGAATTTCATAATTATTTGTTTATTCATTTCTTTGTTTCAAAGGGATTATCCCTATGACGCCGGCCATAGGCAATAAAACGCCAGAGACGTTGCAGGCGTGTTGCCAATGAAAAACAAGAGAGAATGGAACTGACTACCTCAAATACCGTATGATGCAAAGTCGTCAGCACTTTAACTAGACGCCGGTGTGCTGTGAGGCCGTATCATTTCCCTGGTCTAGAATCTCCCATGAAAGTCCTTCAAACCCATCCTCAAAACAACACACCGTGTAGAGAAATAGCTACCTATCGTGCGGCAGCATATCAACAGAATCTCTAATCATTTTAGCTGCCAAGTTGCCTCGAAAATATTTCACGATAGCAATAATAAACGCAAGCCCGTATCGTATTTCTAGTTTCATTCTGCAACACCCCTCAAAGAGGGTGGTAGGGGGGAGGCGCGGGAGGGGGTAAACGCTCAAGTTGACTTAACTAAAATTTAATAATAGCGGTAGGCTTTCTGACGCCGAGGCGCTTTAATGTTATTATAATTAAAATATACGACAATCCGGCCGCGTTGTTGCCTCCCCCAAGAATGCCTCAAGGGCGGCCGACTTGGATCCGCGCCTAATTGATGTAGAAATAGGGCGGCTTTTAAATTATACTATTTAATCCCATCGGAATCCCTTCGAGTCCCTAATGTAATTGATCCAGGGTTTCTTAGCGCCGATGTGAACTGAATGATTGCTCATTTCGTGCCGAATCGGATTTTCGCTTTGAGTTTTGCTGCTCGGCGGCCGTTCGGCCGATGGGTCTTTGCCCAATTAAAACACTTAGCGGATCAATTTCTACGAAATAATATTTGCACTCTCAGTGCTCACCAGGAATATCTATGAAGTAAAAACGGATACCTAAATAGATTATTTGTAACGGACATTTCATTGTGGTAGGGCCACGCGGCAGGCTTCGATGTTGCACGAATGGGCAGGTCCGTCATGAAAAGACCGGTGTGAAGTGGAGGTGTTATTCTACTGCGTTTCGTTTGGTAATTGAGGTAATCGGGGCTCAGTTTATAAAAGGATTACAATGTAAAAAATGTCATTCTGCTGCGGTTATCTCTCAACATCATATGAACCGTTAGCTTGTTTGCCACCTTCTCACATAAAAAAAACATATCCATCTGAACAGAAACTGCACAGACCACTTCGTTCGTGATAGCTCAGTGTCAAGAGCTAAATTCTCGGTAACGGAACCAATGAAATTATTAAATGCTGACTCATCACGTACTCAGCAGTGAAGTAAAACATTATAAAGAAAACCAAAAAGTACATTTTCGAAATAATAATAAAAAATATATGAGATATAATTATATCAGATATATTTTATAATTATGTGAATTGCACCAGTCCGCGATGGGGTGGACTATGACCTAATGCCATATGTTAAGAATTGGCCATATATAAGCTGTTAATTTACCTTATAACGAAAATCAACAGATCAGAGCTGACTTATGCGTCATCGCAAATTGGGCTTTTATAACCTACTAATAGAGTATCTTATCTCTTATCCTTTAAACTTATCCTTTAAACGAGCAATTCTTGTATATATATATATATATATATATATATATATATATATATATATATATATATAATCGTAATCTCGGAAATGGCTCCAGCGATTTTCATGAAATTTAGTATGTTCGTAGATTCGGGGGCGAAAAATCGATCTAGCTAGGTTTCATTTTTAGAAAATGCCCTTTTATCCCTGTTTTCAGGGAATGAAAAATATAATTCGAATATGACGGTAAATTTCGCAGCAAGAGAAAATGTTAAAATAGCTCGGTCGGTAATCGGGCGGCCCCAAAACAGACGGCCGTGGTTCGCGTCACGATCATTTACATATTTATTTTTTTACTTTTTTTTCGATTTCAGATTCTTATTTTTAATTTTTTGTCGATTTGTTATTGTGTTCTTTTTTCCCTTTTTTTTAAAGTTCTTTTTTTTAAAGTTCATATTTTCTTATTATTACGTCGGTAAGATCGAAAAATATTATGCATATTTCATTACTCAGTAATTTGTATCTAAATGTAATTTCCAAAATACACGATTTACCAAAAAAAACACTCGGTTCTCCGGGTACTTGATAATAATAAAGCATAGCGTCTATATTCACGTGGCGCGCTACCAGCCCCCACAATACACTTATAACTACACTCGCCACAAAGCCAATGTCGTACTATTGGATTTCAAAGTGTAGCCATATTAGGAGGGCGCAGCGAAGGGTATAATTTAAATCCAATATCATGTTCATACACAGTTCGGGCTTCGAGGGCCATACAATTGAGTGCTTTATCCGCAAAATATGTAAAAAAGTAATGAGCCCTATTGTCATCAAATCTTTTAGTTAATGAAGCTCAATATGCCCATTAAATAGATGGCAATGCATCTGCAATCCTACGGACATTTGCAACATGGGCGGCGGCTATCACTTAACATCAGGTCAGGTGATTCGCCATCTAGTTTGCCACATTCTCATTTAAAAAAAAGTGTTTAAATGGAACAATTTTCTTTGAATAAAGTTAGGAAACGCAATAACATTATATTATACTAATTTATAAACTTATATTTGCCATTGTTGTTATGAACGCATATAGTTCTATAGTAGTTAATTTGTTCGATAGTATGGCAATGTCGATGTTTTTTTTTTTAAATAGTATAGAGATTAGAAATTATTCTATACCAAACTTATGTTTTTTTCCCTTTTTAAAGCTCTAATATGTTATTCACATCCCTAAATATCCATTGACCGCACAGTAAAAATAAAGGTACCTTGCCGATCTTAGAGAGATGTTAACAGATTATCTAACACTACCAAACTGAAAGTAACAAGGGGTTCTTGACACACGCAGAATTCATCTGACTTTAAACAAGAGTATGAAATTAGAATAATAATCACCCATTTAATCAATGCAGTAAACAACAAATATATATGTAGAAAAACAATCGAAATGTGTATATATACGTTAAACTTGAAAATGTTGAGGAAAAACTTGAAAATTGGATCGATAAGGCTTGCGTGGGGCATATAGGATTTATTCCTAACAAACGTACATTGCGCAGGGCACCTTCCGTGGACGAGGGTGACCGTTGCGCGTCGTACACTATGGGGCTACAATTCTCGGGCGGACCGCCAGACCGCATTGCCAACTTGCACCGTACCCCCAACACACAACGGTGTTCCGAAAACGTTCACGCCTAATTTCACTGCAGAATATTGACGCCCAAAAAGATATTTATGAACAAAGCGTCACTTTTGATTTTGAATCCTTATAGCTAGTAAAGACTATGCACTTATGGTGAAACTTAAAAATGTACACAAAACATTCACATCTCTATATTTTTAATCGAATTGAAAAAAGGAGGATGTTCTCAATTCGACTGTATTTTTCTTTTTTTTTTTATGTTTGTCACTTCAGAGCTTTAGACTGATGGAACTGACTTTGATGACTCTGTTTTTATTTGAGAGCTAGTGCGTCCCATATGTGGTCCCATATTAATTCATTGGTAATGGATCTTGGGCTCCGGAGATACTCGGGGAACTCCTGAAAATCAATTGTAAAGTAGAGCCGAGATATTTTAAGTCGGTTTTATTTTTCGTTAGTAAAAAAATGGACTTGTCAAATATTCATTATAAAAATGTAATTTGAGAAAGCTACAAATGCAATAAAAATAAAGCAGACAAGACTTCGATGTTGCTGCAGTGGGAATATCGCTTAGCTTCAGGATCAGAGCTACTGGACGCGTAATCCCGAAAACGAAGTTTCGAATCCTGGCTGCAGGTAGGTAGAAATTTTACCATTGTTTTATCGGCATATTTTTAAAAAGGGTCACGATATGAAAATTGGGCCTTGAAAAGGAAATATCGTGTGCATTTGCTACGTAAATTTATTATTTACATATTAGTATTTATTTTCGTTACAGTATACACTATAGTTATTAGCAAATTTGTTTTATATAAATTATATTAAATGTTGATGACGATTTGCGTCGTTAAATATAATAATTTCTCATCCGTCCATTGATGAAACAAAATAAACACAAATATTAATGACCCGTTGTTCAGTGTTAGTGAAATCTGCCTCAGAGGCGACGTAATATGTGATAAACGCACGCAGTTACGTAAGAAAGGTTTAAGTTACCTATAGATCTTTATATATATAAAAATTACGTGTCACGTTGTTCGTCCGCGATGAACTCCCTACTAACTAACTACTAACCGATTTTAATCAAATTTTGCACAGTTTATCTCTCAAGTACCTGGAGGACCGAGCTTTGCTCGGTTTGTTTTTTTTTTGGTAAATCGTGTATTTTGGAAATTACATTTAGATACAAATTACTGAGCAATGAAATATGCCAAATATTTTTCGATCTTACCGACGTAATAAAAAGAAAATATGAACTGGTGTATTACAAAAGAAAGAACTTTTTTAAAAAAAGGGAAAAAAAACAAAATCATCTGGATCGACAAAAAATAAAAAAAAAGAACTTAATGATCTGGAATCTCAAAAAAAGATAAAAAATAAGTATGTAAATGATCGTGACACGAGCCACGGCCTTCTGTTTCGGGGTCGCCCGATTACTGACCGAGCTATTAGAACATTTTTTGTTTCGGTGAAATTTACCGTCGTATTCGAATGATATTTCATTCCCTGCAAACTGGTATAAAAGGACATTTTCTAAAAATGAAACCTAGCCAGATCGATTTTTCGCCCCCGAATCTACGCTGGAGCCGTTTCCGAGATTCCGATTGTGTGTGTGTGTATATATATATATATATATATATATATATATATATATATATATATATATATTCGTTCTCTCGTTTAAAGGTATAACATTTATAGCCGCAATATTTTTATTGTAAATTAACTGTTTGTTATATGACACTATGTTAAAAGTCCAAACATATGAACCAGGAAAATTTGCCGCAGACGAAGTCGCGCGGGCAAGCTAGTATTACTATTCATTTATTTAATCTTTATTGCCAACCTTATGTAAAATAAGATAACAAAGGCCGGACTTCATGCCCAAAGGCATTCTCTACCAGTCAACCCAGGATGTGGTGAGAGTTTGTGGTAGGTGCAACAAAAAATACAAGAGTAATAAAATACACTACAAATTTGATTAATAGTCACCGTTACTTAATCATTCTATACAAAGGTGTACGAATTCAGAAATACATTTTGCGAAATTTTCACAATCACCAAAGGCATTTCGACTTTATCTCAAGAGCAATAAAATATACCTCGAATAATATGCGTTACAACACAAATCTAAAAAAA